GAAGCAATGCTGCATGCAGAGCGCTAATTAAAACACAAATATTACACTAATTACCGTAATTCTCCTTTAGTCCCTCCACGTGCCATGCTCAGGGATCTGCCCAAACCCTGCGCCCACCCCGCGCAGCGCGCAGCGGGCGACCTCGCGGCGGCACCGGGCGCTGCGCTCCGGCGAGTCGAAGGCGTCGGGCGCGTCCACCGCGTGCACGCCGTAAGCCCTCCACGAGCCGCTCCGCCGCTCGCTCCTCCGCGCCACCGCGGGAGCCCGGCCGGCTTTTATGTGGGGTCGCGGGGTCGGAGCACGACGGGCCGTTCGGGGGCAGCCCGGGGCGCAGAGTCACGGGGAGCAGCCGGGGGTTGCCTGTCGCTCCGCGGGGAGCGGCCGCCCCGCCGGCAGCCGGGCCGAAGGTGGCGCATTCCTTAAGTGCCTTTCCCGTCAACGCGCCCGTTTCCCGTCAACGCGCTCGGTTCCCTCAGCGCCGTCCCTGGCAGCGGAGCCGCGCGGTACCGCCGCCCCGCCGAGCGCAAACGGACGCGCCGCCCCGCCTCCCCGCGCTCCCGCAGCGCCGCGTCCCCCAGCCGAGCTCCTCTGCGCCGCGCGGCCCCGGGGGTCGCCGCCCTCCCTGCCGGCTCCGCCCTCGCCCCGCACCCGGGCCGAGCTCCAGGGGGCTCCGGGGTGGCCGGGCGTTTCCCGACCCGCCCTGACGCGGCGCGCTCCGCTGGGGGCTGCCGGCCCGACGGGGAGCGGGGCGGCGGACGGCCGCGGGCACGGAGCGGGGCGCCGCCGGCACCGGGGCTGCTCGCGGGGCGGCTCCGAGCCGGGGCGGCTCCTCGGTGCCCGCACTCAGCCGGAGCCGTTCTGCCCCGGCCGCGGCAGCGCAACCGTCGCGGTTTCGTGGTTTTTTCCTCGTTATTCCACTTTCCCTGCGTCACGCAGCGATGGGAGTCAACGAGGCGACGCGGCGGCTCCGAAGAATGAGCTACAACTCCCAGAAAGGCACGGCGCTCCCACAACGCTTTATTTTGTTATTTCCATCTTCCAGGGGAAGGCAATGACAGCAGAACCCAAAGCTCACAGCAGCGCTCTCCTTTGCTGCCTGTGTGTCCCAGCTGCTGCAGCATCGGCACGAGAGCTTTGCGTTTTGGAAACTCTCGTTTATTTAGTAGCTTCAATTCCAATTACATTTCACTCCTGCAATTAGAAAACTAAGTCCTTCTTTCCTTAGCTCATTGCCACCGCTTCCCTTGTCCAGATGCAACTCCCTTCCCTTCGCTCCCCCACCCCTACCCCCTTTGTGGCATGGACCCGTGGGTCTTGTCACGGTGATTAGATCTTAATTACGGCAAACACCACCAACACGACTCCCCTCGCCCCTCGCTCTGCCTGAGGGCGATGCTCACAGCCCTGTGCAGCACCTCATCAGCCTGCACATCCCGGTCCCGCCTCGGCGCTCTGTTGCTCACAGCACAGCACTGCTTCCCGCACGCCTTCACCAGCGTCCGCAGCGCTCCGTTCTCGGCAGTCTTCACGTATTCATCCAGAGAGCCGCCCCCCAGGTCTTCCTTCCTTGTGAACACCACCATCATGCGCTCCTTAGCGCCCTTCCCAAAGAGCTTCTTCACGCTCTTCTGCACCTCGCGGTCCTCCCGCGTGTAACGGCCCAGCTGTGTCACCAGCAGCAGCACGCAGGGCTCACGGGCAGCGAATCTGAGGCAGCGCTGGCGCTCCTCGGCCAAATGCTGCTTGTCGCACTGAGAGCCCCCGAAAATCGCCGGGGTGTCCATGACCACCACGCACCACTCGCCCCAATCCCGCCTGCCGTCTTTGCACGTGGTGGTGACGGGTTGGGAC